GGCTTAAAGCAGCAACAACGCTACACATAAAAACTGATGATGGTGGAAAAATACACCGAAACGTATTTTGATTGATAAATAGAGACAATAAATGAGTTTTTTGCAGACGAAAATGCATGCCAAGGCTTAAAGCAGCAACAACGCTACACATAAAAACTGATGATGGTGGAAAAATACACCGAAACGTATTTTGATTGATAAATAGAGACAATAAATGACTGAAACCCAGGAATGAATTTGATTTTGAATAATTAACTATGTCATAAAAAACCGGCTTTCTTACGGAACACATGTAATTTTACAAAAATTGTTCGAATAAGTGACCTCCTCTATGATCAATGCCTAGCTGGGTTCATCTGTTCATATTTAATACTGCGTCGCGAATGCTTTCTGCCTTAATCGACTGAAACGTTTCCAAAATTTTTACTTTTAAAAAAATCTATATTTTGAACTGGTCTATCATAAACTCCCCATAAGAAATAGTCAAGAGGATTTAAGCAAGGAGATCGGGCTGGCCATCGCATGGGTCCATTAGTTCCAATATCCATGTATGGCGAAACCGATCGTTTAAATATTCTCTAACAATGTGAATATTTTGTTTAAATACATATTTGCAGTTTTTTCAGGATATTTCTAAAACCATGACATCTGGGATTAATTTCAGTATGGCTTTAAAATAAGCATTAAAATGCTCAACTTTTCCGTCATTTGATCAACTCTGTATCTCGTTGCGTTTAGGAGATCCCAATTACATTGTAAGAGTGACCACCCGATATAACTAGTTTAGATGGGTTAGATTTTCCTATTTAAACAGCTAAAGCTCTTGCGGGAACAGTCGGCTGGAACCAGTGGATGAAGAGGCTCTAGTTCCTCTATTAGATAGAGAAAATATTTGAAGAAATTAAATATCATCTCTCTTCCTAACACAGATAGAAGCGCCTTATAGCAATACATTTCCATCCACTAGATTTGCTTCTTCGCACTCGGAAGCAAACACTAACGAAGTGTTAAACGTGCGTTGCTCTGCAATGGTGTGTTGCAAAAACTCGACAACATCAACAGTTAAGAAAATTGAGCCTTACGAAGGAGTTCCAGCCAGTTTGATTGGTTGGGGCAAGTTGAGGGTATTCGGATGGGCCGGTGCCGCTTTGTAACTGCAATAAGGCAGGGGAAATCGCCAACTGTATAAACTAAAATTTGCAAGGGTGATGTTTGTAATGGTGTCCAAGTGGTGCGATGTCTACAATTGTTTAGTGGCCGTGTGCGAAGTGTAAAGTGCTTATACATGGTGTCCGACTGTGCATATTGTTCCATTTCCGTAGAACTTCTAACGTTTATTATTATTCTCAAATGTAAATGCCATCAGCAATTCCTTCACTTTATGTGCTCTTTAGCTCGTGATTTAATGATGATTTAATAAGCTCATATACAGGGTTATTCACGCTATACGGCACGGAAGTTTGCGGCTAAACCGTTTGATTTTTAAAAAGTATTATTTTATGAATGTCCTGTATATTATTGCATTTTTGGATTCGCTGAACAAAATAAGTGTCTGTTTTAATACGGTTTATAATACCTAAATCTTAAGGTTTTTTTTAAATAATACGAATTTAATCAAAATCTAATTTAATTTTCACGTGTCAAATACTTTAGAAGTTTTTAAGTTATGTAAGCGTAATTTATAGTGAAGTGTAACAAGATATAATATTTTATATCCCAATGATAATAAAATTACCCCGTTATACAGGGTGTCCACAAATTTAAACTAATCAAATAACAACTTTAAGTGGCTCTAACTTGATTAATTTAAATACAAGCCCATATTTTTTAACTTACCGGAAAATGCAATTTTTAATTATCTATCGAATGGTATTAGGATGTTAATAGCTAAGTTTTTGCCTTTTTACAAAACACGTCAAATAGTCGTTCTGCGCACCATCTGGTGTTGTTTAGTTTAAGATTCCAATGTATCTAAGTTGCCTATGCTATTTACACATGTCAAATCATTTATTTTATTTGTCAGTTTAGACTGCAAAGTCTCTTTTTGATAGCTAGAGTGGTATTGTTTTTTGTAATTGTAGA